GGCTATGGCTGCCTCAGAGGTATCGAAGGGGGGATAGGGCAGACTCCAGAAACCATCTTATCACCATATAATTTGTTAGCCCACTTTGTGAGTAAGCAACTTATGTGGCTCCTCGGACTGATGAAGTCCTTTAAATTAAGGACAAAATGTTTCAACACAAAAAAAAAAAAAGAAATCATCCAGAGAATTTGACTTAACTTTGTTGGATTCTAACTTTATATTTGCATATCAACAAACTAACCATGTCATGCAAATAAATACAAGAAGACACCCTAAAGTTCAAACTGTTGCCAAGGCTTGCGCCCTTCATTGAAATTATTTTCCTATCGAGTCGAAGTCTTCAATATGTTGCCATCAGGAGAGGCGCAGAGGCTCCTTGGATGATTAAAAAGTCATTTCCTTAACTGTCCTCCCAGGATTTGTGGGCTTTTTTTTGTGAGAAAACATTAAATTGCTCCAATCAAGCATAAACGTCTCCTGCTTGTGTTGTAATTTGTACTGCTGTTCGCTTGGTGGGTGCTTATTTGTCATCCTTTTCCTTTGGCGCTTTTCCCAACCGTCTTGATCAACAATTAATGGTTGAAATTGCTTCCCTGTTACTTATGGCTGTGGAGACAGATGCAGCATTTGTGGGGTAAAAAAAAGAAAAAGGAAGAAAGTTCAACAAAAATAAGATTCATTAAAGTTATTGAAGAAGACTTAAAATGATTCCTTTTTACGTCTTTTGGACTTCTTTTAGTGTTGCTGCATGTATGTCTGTTTATGGGAACAATGGTCAACTCGTTCATGTCCAGATATTTTCCTCTCTATACCTCCCTGCTCTTCTGTGTCTCTCCCCCATTCAATTTTTTACAGAATGACCTTTAGTGCTCTTTACTTCATTGCAGGGACAGGCCTGGGCCTGGCATCTGATAGAATCAATATTCTATTATGATAGTGCGTGGAGCGTGTGGGGCTTTACAACTCTGCTGTAATAGTCTCTCTATTTCATCCCGTGGCAGCCATGGCCTGAGGGATCATCCAGGCCTCTCCAGGCTCTATGCTCCCAGCATAGCCCCATTTCCATTAACGTCACAGGCCTCCTGCCTACCGGGGGACAATCTGTATGACCGATGGATGGTGTTGAGAGGGAGTCCAGCCCGGGTGCAATGTGTGTCAGTAGACTGTGTAATAGCCAAGCCTGGGTGAAATGTTACTTAAATGGCTTTCCAGTTTTCATCTTGTTGCCTTTTCACCATTAAACCTGTCGTGGGTTGTAATCAAACTAAATCATTGCATGTGAAACGACGACTGGGGAATATCTAGTCATCATAAGGATGGTATACAAGTGAGATTCTGAGATTAGTTGTCCAAACCAAAATATTTGTCGTTGTTCTCAGTAGTAAGGGTCCATCGGCCTAAAGACCATACAAACATTTGCAGGGATTATTAAAGAAGACACCTCTAGATTTAGGCCTTGTCTACACAGGGATCTAAGTTTCCCAAACGGACGGACGGACGGACGGACGGACGGACGGACGGACGGACGGACGGACGGACGGACGGACGGACGGACAGACGGACAGACGGACAGACAGACAGACAGACAGACAGACAGACAGACAGACAGACAGACAGACAGACAGACAGACAGACTTTATGTGAATAAAAAGAAGCAGAATACACAAATTTGGAAAAAGACAATATTCACAAGTTGATAGGGAGCATTACATTCATGATTAACTTATATATTTACTTTGTAAATATATATATATATATATATAGTTTGTGTGTGTATATATATGTATATATATATATATATACACAAAGTATATATATATATATACAAAGTATATATATATATATATATA